CTCCCCCTCACCTCATTCTTTGTAATGCTTGGAGGCTGTAAATCTTGAGAGCTGACTTATTGCTAGATTGGTGGAAAAGGAGCAGTTGAATTTCATATTTATCTTGCAATTTAGAGATATGACCTATAATAAAGATATGGAAGTTTTTTGCAACCATGTCCCAGAGGACTCTACTGTGTAAAACTTATTAAGTAGACCTGACAACAAATGTCACAGGCAGGTCTAAGCTATGCCAGTCCCTTGGAAGATGCTAGAGATACTCAGGCACAGGTGGGGACCAGCCCTTCTTCCTGCAGCTTCCAAAAGCTGGTAGTCAATGGCCATTTCTCACTTGCCTATAAGCAGGAAGCATCCAGTGGTGGAGGCAGCTGCTGGTCAGAGAGCAGGGGAGAGGGAGAGGCCCTTTCAGGAATGCAGTCCCTGGAGGCTTCTCCCCACTGCTTGCAGGATTCCAAAGGGCTGAGACAAGCTCCAGGATATAGTTCAGCAAAGATGTTTGGGATTTATATTCCTCTGGGAGAAAGCAATTGCTAGAGAGGGATTTTATTTTTAAAAGCCTCATTTTCCCTTGGGTGGGGGGAGGATACTAGGCCAGTATGGGGGGAAATTGTGTTTGGATCAGGCAGGAGGCATTCAGTGAGGACTGAGTATCTTTTTTACACCTCTTGTTTCATATATTGTACAGTCTATTGTACTTTTAGAAATTGTTACTGCAAAGCTCTGAGGGGCATGAGTTATGATCACCATGATTCCAACATCACCTCTGCTTCTACAATGCTTTTCCTCTCAAGGCTTTCCACTGGGTGGAATTTTTAATTTCAACAATGGTGCAAAGGCTGAGGGATAAACGGCTCATTACTGGGAAGAGTACCAGGCATGCTGGGAAGCAGGCCTCCCTCCGCACTGGAGACAGCACTTTAATAGTAAGGGCTCCTTTCAGGCACAGGAAGGTTGGATCAGTGTTTCTTTTCATTCCTGTCTTCTTTCAATAACTGCTGGGATGAAAGCAAGCCTGAGAGAAGGAACATTTCACAAACAAGGCAAGAATAAAATATTTAGGGCAAGAGATCAGAAATCCTTTGGTTATTCAGTGAACTGAACTAACTCCACATTAAGGGGGAGGGGAGGATAAAGAAATAAATGTCCATCAAACTCTGTGTCCCAGAGTGTATTAGCCTTTTGACTCCATCATAGGCTCTAAGCAAAGCTGTTGTGCCCAGCGAGTTGCAGTAAGAGAGACTCAAACTAACCCCGTGTTAAAATGTGGCATCTTTTGACAATATTCATTCCATTCTTAATACTTAACTCCATCTTTATTCTGAGAATACAGGATAGCCTAGTGGCACCATGGTTAAAGCAGGCATGTGCTAAAGCAAAGGTCAGTGGTTTGAACATGCCAGCCATTGCATGGGAGAAGGATGTGGCTGGCTGCTGCCACAAAAATTTACACCCTTGGGGGTCCTATAAGGCTTTTCATCTCTGTCCTCTAGGGTTGCCTTGCTGGGAGGCAACACGTTTGGTTTTTTTCTAAAAAGCATTTTCCCCAAGTTATTAAATGACCCATTTCTCCCAAATCAAACCAGTGATAATAGGAGGGATAGAAGGGTCATTATCACTCTCTTAAGTCCTCTACAGAAATCTTAAGTACTTTGGAAGCCAGTTTCAAGCTTTCCACCTCTAGTTCCTTTCTCTAAATACCATCAGTGGTTTCTTAGAGTGAAGACAGGTTTAAAGCGACCTATTTGAGAAGTACTGTACTAAAACTTTGTTCCCTATTAATTTGATCTTCTAAGGGTACCGCTTGCCAAAAAGATCTTAAATATTGACTTTTACATGGAAATCAAATCATTTTTCCCAGACCAGAGCTAACGTTAATTTGATCAAGAAACCAAGTCCCACTCAGAGTGGTCAAGAATGTGGTTAGGTATTAAAAATGGCTTTATTGCTTGTCACATGGAACCCAATTTAGATGTGTTAACCACTTTCCTGGCACTGGGAAGCCTTCTTCTCAGGACCTATCAATTAGCATGGCTTAAGATATATTCAATGCCCAGGCAATTCTGGCTAAAAATAACTCTGTGGGCTAGTCTTTTTTTATTTTCTTTTACTCATCTACAGAGAGCATTTTTGTATGTCAACAAGATCTTTGCTACTTGAGTGTTTTCACGCCTGCTTACTCCTCCCTCAAAATAGAGTTGTGTGATACAATTAGGAAAGTCACAGGGTTGGTGTGAGACACACATAGAAGCAAAACTAGACTGAAGATCGGACAGAGGTTAGGCACTGTCAAGTATCCAGGGAAAATGGGAATAAAGGAACCAAGCAGTCAAAGAAAATGTAAAATGTAGATGTTCTTTTTTCTCCTTTCTTACATCTATAAGACAGTTACTTTACCACAAGAAATCTGATTTCTACAGAATTAATTTCTATAGTAACAATTTTTTTTTACTACATATTGTTGCTTTTCTTAGTAGGTTTAGTAGAAATTGACTCAAAGCTGACCCTACGGTGGGTTTTCAGAGCCTTAAAATCACACAGGAGATTGCCTGTCTTTCTCTCTTAGAGCAGCTGATGGAATCGAAGTACCTGCCTTTGGTCTGGCAACACAATTTCTTTTTTTAT